ATTGCTTATTTTGGAAAGATCATCAAAATTTTAAAATTGAAACAATTGGATGTGTACTTGTGACCGGCACTGTATAAGTGTTAAAGACAAGATCTACAAAGATAATAACAATTCTGATGGTGCACGATTAGAAAGAGTTGTTATGGTCATATTTTATTTATTATTAATTAATTATTTACATCAAAAAATTCTAGGCATACTTTTAAAATTCCATAGTGCACCGTTCAATAGCCAAAACATTTCAGTTTCTTTCAGTTTGCAAAACTCATTATTTTTTGTTTTACATGATAAAATTTTGAAAGTCACAATTTTCCAAAATAAACTAAAAAAAGTTAAAAAAAGACATATTTGTTTGATCAAAATTTATGCATACATTATAGGGCCATACACTGGAACAAAACCAACGAAGTAAAAGCAAACATCTGCATTGTCAAGGATTTCAGGGTTCAAATGAGTAAATTCATTGCTAAAATAGAATAATTTAAAATGATATTATGAATCATAAATTTTTGTTCTTTTTCCTGCAAACACATATTATTAATAAAAATTTAGATTAATTAATATGAATGAAGAAAAATTATTATAATGATAGTAAACAATTTTATAATCAATTTATTACCATTTTCTTCCATTATATTTGTCTGATTATTATCTTTTAAATAAACACTTAATTTTCTTTTGGTGTTTGTTGAAGGTGTATTCTCTTCATTTTCAATATTATTATTTAACAAACTATCCAATTCACTTTCCAATGCATCTAAATCTTCTATCCAAATGTCAGTGGCTGACTTTTGGTGAAATTTAATCAGCTGATTATCCAAACTTTTTTTGTCATTTTCAAATTTGCTTAACTAAATTTTATAGTATACATTCATTGAATAAAATAATCTTATACATGCACATATATATACATTAACAAAATTTAATATATACATACATTTTCACTGCAATAATTCCAATGTGTAACATTCATCAAGTAATCATAATTATTAATATTATTTTTTTCAGATAATTCATCAAATTTATGTGACTTGAGAACTTCTATTATTTCTGTATGATTTAAACCTTTAAAATCAATTCCTTCTTGAAAAAATCTAATTATATTTTGCATTTTATTTATTTGTTGTTGTAATTCTTTAATTCGATGTGACTAGTATATATAGAGTTTAAAAATTAATTAACAAAACAAAATATTCTTTTTTGTATATATATTTCAATTTCAATTAAAATCATATTTATTTGGTAGCTTACCCTTCTCCTTACATAAAATCTTAATCGTATTTGATAGAATTCATTAAGAATTTCCTCAGGGGTATTGTACTTGTTTAATTTATTATCTGGATCAAAACACATCATATTTGATGTTGTTAATATGGTGGTTAATTGAAAAACCTTATCCAATCCTTTTATTTCAGCATCTTCCATTTGTTTGGGAGTTAATTTAATCTCTATATCTATTTTCTCATCCGTGCAATTATTTCTAACAATACTCTAAAAGTTGTAGCAGAATATTTGTTTATTTAAATCTTATTTGAAATTAAATAACAATAAAAGGCTACCAAATTTACCAAATCAATAAAACATTCAATACCTCAATAATATCATTTTCCTCAAACTTATTAAGCATCACTATATAATCATTAGTCCATTTACCAATTGGTAATTCTGAGATTACTAGATGAGTTGGATTTATCTTAGTGATGACACCATATGATTTATACTTATCCTTGTTGATATATTTTATCATGCCCTGAATAACAGCAACAAAGTATTTAGTATTTTTTTTATATAATTAAATCATCCTTTGTATCAAAAAATTAATTACCTGAAAACCACAATACCAAGGCTGCATCGGCAATATTTCCTTTTTTTCGATTAATCTTCTCAAATTTTTTATAATATCTTTAGGATTGTATTTGGGAATATTGGTGCTATAACCTAAAATAAGCACATTTATTATGTGTGAAATCCTTTTACAAAATTTATTAGTAATTAAAAATAACAATGCTTACCTATACCGATTCCTCTTGCTCCATTAACAAGTATCATTGGAATGATTGGAACATACCAATTTGGTACAACATTTTCTGCGTGCTCTTTTAACAATTTATCATCATCAGGATGGAAGATCATCCTTGTAAGTGATGCAAGTTTCGTGGATAAGTAATGAGCTGCTGCTGCATCCTTTCCCCCCTATATCATTAATAAATAAATTTAAAGTAGGCAAAAAAAAATTTTTTTTATAATAAGTGTGTACATATATGCTTTGTCTTAATAAAGTGAAATACCTACATCATATCTTGTACCAAATTGCCCTATTGGTTCAAGTAGGTTGATATTGTTTGAACCTACAAATCTCTGTGCTAATCCAATTATGGTTGAATGAAGGCTCGTTTCATTGTGGAAATACCCAGTAAGGTTCCCAACGTAACCTGCCAAGTGCGATACCTATAAATATAATATGGTAATTAATTAATAAATTGTATTAATTACTCATGATAGAAAAATTTTTTTAACTCAATTAATATACTTTCCAATATTGATTCATTCGTATCCCTCTCAATACAACCATATAATGTCTTAAACTGACTTAATTTTAAACCATCTACTAATGACGGTATGCATCTTAAATTATTGTTCTGGACAAAAAACGAAAGTTCTTTATTTATAATATCTTTAATACTAATTTCACTTTGATTATAATCGATCCCATCATCCTATAATTTAATCATTTTTTAAATAAAAGATATTAAAAAAATAAATTCAAGATATAGATTTTTAAATAAAGGTTTTGTAAATATTAATTGAAATATATTATTGAATAAACAAAATTTACCTTAAAATTTTTAATCCAGCTGGTTAATGTTATGCCTTTATGCTTGCCAAAAAACATTTCTAATAGATCTCGATCTTCTTTGTCCAAAGGTTTAACACTTTTAACATATTTATGGTAGTTTTTAAAAAATTCTTTCATCTCTTCTGGTGAGTGGTTGCTCAAGCTCTATGCAGTTGCAATTATCAATGGTGGAATTCCAAACAAATATAACATTATTATTAAAAGATTTTTCAAATATGGAATCAATGAATTAAAAAATCAAGTACCTTATAAAACCTTGTATAACTTTTATCATTATTTTTTACATGAATTTCGTAATCACATATGGAAAAAAAAAGCAAGCTCCCGCTCTGTCTATTTATTAGAAAATTAATTATATATGTATATATTACCTAAAAATACAAGATAATTATTATTACTCACTCTGACAGCAGGCGTAACAAAGATGTGTAGAAATTCATGTAATCTCAGTAAGCTCGGATAAAAATAATCTAAATAGTTTATTATCAGTGCCTTTATATGGCTTCCATCGTGGTCCTGTTATAGATATAATAAATTATTTTAGTTGTTATATGATTTTTTTTATTGATATAATTTTTACAATTACCCACCCGATCAGTCATAATAATTAATTTTCCATAGTGTAAACCGTTGGTTGAATCATATACTTTATTTCGTTCTAATCCAATAATTTCTTCGATTTCCCTGATTGCTTTATTTTCGGAAATTTGTTTCTTTGAAGTGTTTCGAACATTTAAAAATTTTCCCCCAAGAGGATAAAAACCCCAGTCATCTTTATCAACGACGGCACCAAGTCCTGCCAAAATCAACCCTCTTGACGAATCACCTTCCGTTATTAGTAATTTGCAATTATTTGGTTTTGTTTTTACATTAGTTGCATTGGGTCTGGAATTATTAAAATAACGGTTTTAATCAAGTATTAAATTTACAACTAGAATGACGACACGTTGTAACTACCACTACCTTTCCTTTTAATAATAATTAATAAACACTTACTTGTTTGCTGAACCAAGGTAATTTTCGGATTTTCTTTTATTTTTATTTTTTTGATAAGACATGATTTTTTGAAAAAAATAAAAAAAAAAAATGAAATTTGATCGACATACATGTACACAAGTAATTATTATTATACGCGCGTGTATGGGTTGTGTGATTTTTTTTTTTTTTTTTTTTGGACGCGAATAAAAATTTTATTTTTTACAAGATGAGAAAGCGTAAATGTTGTTGTTTGGTATGTCCTCTTAAAGAAGACGAGGCGTTGTTTATTAACTAACCAGAGGTACACTATTTTTTATTTGTATTGTCTTTTTTTGGTTATTATAAATATTTTAATTGGAATTAAAACGTGGAGCAGATCTTGTTGTGTCTCTAGGTATTTATTATAGAAAATTCTTATCAAGATGATAGTAAACGATTAGGATCGTTTTTGCTTTTCTTAACCATTACTAATATTAATATTTATTACAAGATCTCAAGGCAACATGACTATTATAAAAAAAACATTTCGTTATGTAATGTTTGATTATCGGAAATTGACAAATGTCAAGCCACACACGCTACCTTGAACTTTACAGTCATTCCCGCATCTTCCTCATGTACAAAAGGCTAATCTGACCCGCATCCCCCGATGATACAATGATATGCAATTAAATTCCAGGGGGGGGAAGCATAGCCCTGGAGTTTATCAAGATTGCATCAATCGTCAAGGACATTTTTCACTAATCTTCCCTCACAGCACCTGAACTGGCGTTACCCCAGTTAGCATGCTGACATGCTGGCCGGAGTTGTCTGCAACAATCCTACATCTGAGGTAAGGATGGATCTGTGACCATGTTGCAACTCGGAGGAATATTAAGAGAATCTGCAACTCGTTCCAGGCACAGGAGGTCACAATCCAGGGTGGGGTTGGTGGCCCTGAAATTGCATTCAGACTCTGATGTTAAGAGGAAAGTTGTAAAATAGTATTTGTTTTGTATAATCATTTTCATAAATTCTCTGTTTCTTTGATATTAACCAATTTATAATTTTGGGTAGGGGGTTTTGCCCAATCAGTCCCCTGTCCTATAGATTAAAATTATTACATGATTATATATATATCTTTGCCAGCAATGTGGCCAACAAGAAAAAAGTTATAAAATGGTTTGGATTTTGTTTGGTATGTTATATAAATTAATCATTTTCATAAATACTCTGTTTTGTAAATTTTTATTTGACCAATTGAATTTGTTACTTTTTAAATGGGGGCTCTTGCCTGTATAACCACCCTAGGTGAATAAAGGAGTGTAGCTCAATGAGAGCATGTATCTTACAAGTATCAAGGTGGCAGCTCGACCCTACCCACTCCTATTGTGATAGTCACCATGATCACTAACACCAAAGAGAAAGCTGTAAAATAAAATGGTTCAGATTTTGT